GTTTTCTTTTTTTTTCTGTGAGAGTCTCGGTTCTAAGTTAAGGTTTGTTGCAAAGTTGGTGTGGAAAAGATCTCTGAACTGCTGTATACGCACCGCAACTGGGTCCCAAGAGACACACTGACGCCTCCACACACTCACTCTACCCTTGCACATACGTGTTGCACCACACAACACTCTGTCCCCACTCTGGGCTGCTATGCAATCCGAGTTAGGTCCCTGCATTCTGCCGCACTGCCCCACCCCGGGTACGTCTGGTCCCACTTGCACGGTGTTTGGTAGCCTTCACATTCACTTCACTTCTTTTGGCATTCACTTCACCCGTGTTCTGGCGGACAGTGCCTCTGTGCTCAGGACGGAGATCGCTGTCCTACTGGCGAAGGACACGATCGAGCGATCACTCCAGCCGATATGAAGATCGGCTTCTTCATTGTACCTAAGAAAGGCGGTGGGTTATGACCAATCTTGGACCTGGGTGTCCTGAACTGGTCCTATTACAGGCTGCCGTTCAAGATGCTTACGCAGAAACGCTTTTTCAAATGGATCCGTCCCCAAGATTGGTTTGCAGCGATCGACATGAAGGACGCATACTTTCATATCTCGATTCTCCCTCAACACAGACAGTTTCTTCACTTTACGTTCGAGGGAGGGGCATATCAGTTCAAAGTATTACCCTTCGGGATGGGCCTGTCACTGCATGTCTTCACGAAAGTCGTGGAGCATGGTGTTCGCATTCTCAGCTACCTCGATGACTGGCTTATTCTTGCTCAGTTGAGAGAGCAGTTGTGTGAACACTGGGACATGGTGCTCAGTCACCTCAGCCACCTAGGGATTCGGGTACAACAGGGAAAAGAGCAAACTCACCCCTGGGCAGAGGATCTCTTTTCTCGGTATGGAACTGGACTCGATCAACATGACAGCGCGCCTCATCGAGGCCCACGTCCAGTTGGTGTTGAACTGAGTGAGCACACTGAGACGCAGAACAGTGGCACCATTGCAACTTTTTCAGAGGCTCCTGGGGCATATGGAATCTGCAGCCGCAGTTACGGCCCTTGGATTGCTTCACATGAGACTGCTCTAACACTAGTCCCAAGATGAGCGTGGCAGAGCGGCTCGTGCCGGGTCCAAGTGACCCCGCACTGTCAACAAACTCTCAGCTTCAGCTTGTGGTCGGATCCTTCGTTTCTGCGGGCAAATGTTCCTCTAGAAAAAATTGTCCAGGCATTCTGTGGTCTCCACGGCTGCCTCTGCCACTGGCTGGGGGGCCACGTACAACATGCCATACAGCTTCAGGTCTGTGGACGGGGCCTACTCGGGTCTGCTTCAGGTCTGTGGTCTACACTCTCGCCACATGTCACAACTTGCCCGCCATCTCATCCTCTGGAGTCAGAAGCATCTGAGGTTGTTTCCTGACGTTTATATTCCGTAGATATATATATTCCCTATATTCTGTAGGTACTCAAAGTTGATAGGGCTCCCAATTATGTCGTCACGTCGACATTACGTCTCCCGTTCCCTCCTTCAAGAAACTAGGGTTATAATAGTAACTGAGATGTTTTGGATGTTAAAGCAACACCAAGGAACTTTTCCTCTGCGGTCGCCCTACAGGTTGGAAGTGCAATTATCCATTACAGTTCTTTACTACCTGAAAATTGAAGTTACATAGAGCAAGTAAAAGCGATTTAGACGAAGTCAGGCTATGGCAGATGTGTCATTTAACCTATTGTATGTCGATGTACCATCACAAGGGTCTTAGAACATATTATGAAGGTTGAAAAACTACACAGTGTTACTTTAAACAGTGTGATACATGGATTTTACTTGGAGCTAAAGCATATTTTGTCTGTAATTCATGACTTTAAATAGAAACTAATGGAATTTTTCCATAAAAAATGTTTAAACGCCGTTGTCTCAAAATGATTTTTTTCCTCACACTCCTAGTGATGATTTTGCACTTCTGTAGCACCTACAAATACCAAACTTACAGTAAAAGTCGTATTCTTATCTATATTGTGCAGGTTTGACAAGAGGGATTTGTTGATATATCATTATTGGCCTGATTTATATGATATTTTAAGCCTAAAAATAGGGCGGAAATCATTTTTTAAGGCTATTGGCAGTATTTTCTGATTTACAGGGAAACAAAAGGAGATATTCATAATCCCCTCTGCTAATGTCTTTTCATTGAATATATCAACAAAATGCAAAATGCAAAAAAAAAAAAAGTAACCTTGCTTTTATCAATGGTTGTCACTTCAAAATGTATGCAAATGAGTGCATATTAAATTAAATATAGCCTGATTAGCATATTTAAACATAAAATTACAAAAAAAAAACTTACAATACATTTTTTTCTCCTTTTCATGTGAGTAATCAACTGGTAGAGTTTCATGATGATATCTGTAAGTTAAAATTTCTACCCTATTCACACCTGTAGTGTCCCGCCTTAAAATAATATTAAATGAATGTACACATTTACATATAATTTACTCCATGGACCTATCTGCAAATAAATAAATCTAACATACTCAAACAAGTGTATTTAAGATTGCAAGTAAGCTTCATATTTCACCTTGTAATATAAACACTGCAAGAAAATCTCTCACGATAGATAAAAGGTTTCATGCAAATGGACTACATTGTAATCTAAATGCAATGCTCCATCACCCTTGGTGATGGATGTGTGACTGACTTTGCTGTAAATTTTGTTGCGTTGAGTCGCGATCGTTCTTTCTGCTGATTTAAGGCAGAGCAGTAGAGGGCCGAGCGGGTCTCGTGCTCCTGCACCTGCTGCCGGTTCGTGCCAGTGACTGGTAATGACAGAGTAATGGGAGGGACGCGGGAAAACGGGAGGGCAACAGGGCAGAAACACGGTGCCAGCAGGAAGAGCAGATAAAGTGGCAGCAATAAAAATTATATGACTACATACATCATCCTGTCAGCGTATAATTTTATCTGAGAGGGCAGGGCCTTTCTCCTTGCTTTGAAATGGATGTGGTACCTAGAACCGGTCTGGCGTGCATGGAGGTGCTAGAAGAGGAAAGCCTCCTCATCTTCACTCGCCGATAGCTCTTATACATACTTGATGCTTCTCCGGGGGCTGTGGGTGTTTAATAGCTTTTTACATAATGCTATGTGCAATGACCTTTTGACTTCAGTAGGAAACTTGAGAATTCACTTTTTGGCCACTTATAGAACAGGCAGATATAATTCTTTAGAGTGCAAGGGAATCATTCGGTTTCAGACAATTGAATTGAAATACATTCTCATTTGATGTGATTATACAGGAACTTCCGTGAACCCAAAAATAGGATAATCACCATCGCGCAATTGGTGGATGCGTCTCAGTGGAATGTCTTTGCATAAGTGACAATTGCTTTGGTTCATGGAGAGGTGTTTGTGTGGCTTTCTTAAAGGGGTTGCAGAAAAGGCCTTTGCAAAAACCAATTAGCCCACGTCTTCCTTCTACGTTACCTTCCACGGAGGTAATTAATCCAGCATTGTACTTGCAAAACAACTTCGGCGTCTCAGAAGGAAAACTAGATTATTAATAAAGGAATTCCATTTATCGCTTTATAAAGCCCTGAAAAGTCCTGGGAAATACAGCAGGAATTGTAAACACTGATGTAGGCCTACTTTCAGGGATTATTGAACAAACAGTATGTTTTTTACTTACAAAGTGACCATGGTTCTATATAGCCCTACACAAGGCTATATCTTCTCTTACCGGAGTTTCAGATCAAAAATACAGCAAACAGCAATATTGCAAAATATTATAACAAATAACCATTTTAGTTTTTTAAGCTAAAGGTCTTCAGTGTCACATGCTCCTTCAGAATTATGAATCAGAATTATGGTGAATTCGTTAACAAGTGTTGAAAAAAAGTTGTGCTGCTTTTTTTTTTCCAGAATTTTCAAAAAAGCTGCATTAATTGAAATAGAAATATTTTGTAACATTAAAAATGATCAATTTAGTGTATCCCTGCTGAATACAAGTTTTAAAAATAAATAAATAAAAGTGAAACAATGACTTTGTTACAGTAAAAAAATCTGATATACTAGGAAGTATATCAAAATGAAAGAACAAATTTCAGTACCGTGATATATTTTTAGAGTACCATAACATTATATTATGGTAACGCCACAGTAATGTTTCGATTCTGGTAAACAGTATGGTAGCCAATACACCACAATACCATGGTCTAATAATGCTTCGAATTTATACTGTGGTAAAATCACATTTATTTGGACAAGTATCATGGTAAAACCATAGTATTGTTACCATTTTAAGTTTCATCCTTGAGGTACCTTGGCATACGGAATATACTGTAAGTACACAAATATTGTATTCATTCAGTACCATATAGTCTAAAATAAAATGGTGTTACCATGTTTTTCAGGCATATGACTCATACAACACTTATGGATGTGGCAAACCAGGTGACATCTCACATCAACTCTGCGAGCATTTATGTTTTTACATGTAAAATACCAGAAACATTAATCTAACAAATCTCACATGCAGACGTGAACTTTTGATAGTGTTTCACGAGAGGCAGAAGTGTTTTATCGCCATGGTAATGCAGGCCCCCAGTGTTTTCAGTCACAATGGTAGTGTCAACCTGGGTCCCTCTGGGAACTTGTCATAGGCAATCTCACACTGGCTTTGACGTGTCGTGACACCGCTTGAGCAGATTAAAAAGATTATACGCCGTCTCCCTGGTTTTCCTATGAAGGTCAGGTCTGTTTAGTGTTACAGCCCTGGGTGAGCAAACATGGCAACCAGCCTTAAATCAACAGACCTGCGCCTGGAAAATTGTCACGACTCACAACAGACTGGACTGAATGTCACTGCTGTTCTACAGACTGAGAAGCATTGTGTGTGAAGTTAGTCATGACAGGGTAAAATCAAGTTTATGCTTTAAGCCAGCCCAGCCTGACTTGACGTGGCACATAAGCAGTTGCGTATATCCAACACCTGCTCTGGAACGAAGAGTCATTACTTGGGAAGAGATCACAATAATGCATTTATTTGCAGTCATATGTACAATTTTTAATACCAGGTGCATTTTAAATAAATAAAACATCGATCTAATCCAAAACAGATACGTTAAGTGTCACGCTCATAGCCTGATTCGCTTTTTCTCTTCTTATTTTTTTGAGTTTCTTCCTCTGATTTCTCACAGCTTGATAAATGTGACGTCTGTGCACTCGGGAAGTCCAGACCGGAACCGAGTACTTGTCGGATGGTCATATTTACCCGAGACGTCTGAAGGTACCAGGTGCAAACCTCCCAATCCTCCTCTGACACGCTTTGGATGATGTCATCATCCTGCGCCTCTGCCTCTGGTCTCGGGCCCAGGCAGGGTGGCAGGACATTTCCAGCAGGGGAGGGGACAATGCAGGGTACTGCGTGATAGAGTAGGCGACTGGGTCCTGACATCACCATTATGTCTCCGCTGTGCATGAACATGGCTGTGGGACGGTCTTCTCTCTTAGTCCCGCCCAACAAGAAAACGGAAGTCTGCCCAAAACTGACATCAGAGGACAAATGTTTTTATGAATGCATTTCTTATGCTGTATGGATAAAATGGTACATGAAATATATATATATTTTTTTTAAATATAAATAAGTAATATTTGACACTGACAATGCTTACTGTGCACCAATAACATGTTTCCATGATATGAGCAAACCTCTTTAAGTCCAATTTACATGCAATTTTCATTTGTGGTTATTTTTACCGCCATTCTTGACATGATAGAACAAATCTTCATCTTCAATGCATAGCACAAATTATTAGCCTTGTTGGCACAGACTATTTACACTAACTCCGCCCACTGACGTCTGGTTGGCCCAGACAGGGAAGACGCTGAATTATCAAAGGTAGCAATAGTGTAGGGATAAGGCACGAGGCAGAAAGTTTAGACGCAAATAGACCCAAGTTTGAATCAGTCTTTTGCTGAACGGACTCTACTCTCTTTTCCAATCACATATCAGATCGGAAAGGCAAAATAAGAAAAATATTCAAAAAGTGGAAATACTGTAGTGTGTCTAACGTATGTATAATAACAAAGTTTTAATCGGTTAGGGTAAGGGGTAGGCTTACGGAGAGGTTTATTGTCCCAATAAGGCGACATCCATTTAATAATTTTAATAAATGTAATAATTTACACTGTGTGTTATTATTCCATACCGTTTAATGTACAACAACACTGATGTGCAAATAGTATTTTCCACTATTTATAAGTATAAATAGCATAACTGCTTTTTACACTTATGTCAAAGAAAATGCTGCTACAAAGTGTAAATAGAATGTACCGCTATTTTTACTTAATGTAACTAGCATTCGCTAAGAAAATGCTGTTATTTTCACAAACTGTAGTGTAAATAGAATCTATTACTTTTTTAAACAGTGTAAATACCAGCTATAAATATTTGTACTTAGGCCACCAAAGCGTTTTTCCACGCGCCTGGCGTATGTTTTCAATTGTTTTCAATGGGAGCGCAGCGTTTTTTAAAAACCATGAGCGTAACGAGGCGCTGAGCGTTTTTTTTTTTTAGTTTTTCAAGTGATATCTCTTGTTCTCTTCGGCTAACTGGAGGAAAACGGTGCTATATTCGCAAATGTTTTATGCGATAGGATAGGCTATTCCCGCTTTGCACATAATTTATTATATTTGCAACTTTGGATGGAAACATAGCTATTGACAACATCTTTATCTCCAATCAAAATCAGAGAATACTGGGAATTTCTGGGAATGCTGAGGGTAGCATTAAATCAGTATATGTAGTTAATAAAATTCCTCACCTGAAAGACAACAATGGTCGGGTATGGTCGAGCTCTGATTCGTCAACGTGGATTCCAAGCGACGAATCAGATCGATAGTAGTTGAGAATACCCGCCTCTGCGTTAAATCCAGGAAAGCCACAGGCTGCCGCCACTCTGTTAGAAAGCGAGTGAAGTTCCTTGGGGAAGGGAGTGTAGTGATCTGGGGAGTACGTCTGCGGAATAAAACTATGTCAGAATAGTATGGCACCTTACATGCCTCAGCATAGTATTCTAGAGTAAAACTGCCTCTCATTATAAGCAGGCAGTCATTTAGCAAATGCTTTTATTTAAAGCGACATCTCTGCTCTGATGACGTGAATACTGGTCTGAGGGCGGGACAACCAGTCACTCACATGAGATCACAGCAAAAGCCACGCCTCCTGGTTATTGCTAATTTTGGGAGTAATACCTCAGCGATATCCTCCAGATCAAGGCAAAATGTATATATATGTATATATATATATATATATATATATATATACAGGAAAAAAAGACTATCGCAACTTCTGTTTCATGCAGACTTTAACATAATGATTGACGTAACTGATAAAAGAGCATTTGCAGCGTTCTTTCTGCTCTGTGGCTTTCACAGTGGGTCATTGTCAGCTGTTATACATGAAAGTGTAATCAATGGACAATCATATGAGCACAGCCTCTCCAAAGAACTGAATTAGCGGCTTACACGTCTGATCCGAGCGGAGTGAATGCCTCAGCCTTCAGTTCTACTTAAAGGGAGGTGGAAAGAGTCTCTGCTTAAAATTCACTGATTGCCGTCAGACGTTTGGCGGTGTCAAACTAACATCAGAGCTAATGAATCCGGTGTGCATCTCCTGACTGATTTAATAGGACAGAAGACTAAACACTTTTATGTAATTAGCATATAAACGAGACAGGCAGACATCAGGCCTGTACAATTAGAGATGAAATGTCCTGAAAGGAGCAAATAATGCTAATAAGATCCATGGCGATGTTTTCTACCTTCCTCTCCCACTAGGAAAAACAATGCCAAAAAGCTGTATTTTGAGCATCATTACTCCAGTCTTCAGTGTCACATGATCCTTCAGAAATCATTCTAATATGCTGATTTGCTGCTCAAGATTTTTTTTTTTAAATCTACATTGAAAACAGGTGTGCTGCTTAATGATTTTGTGAAAACTGATACATTTCTTTTTCAGGTTTCTTTGAGTTTAAAGTAACAGTATTTATTAGAATTGTAGTAACGATGTAAAAGTAGTTACTGTCATTTTTGATCAATTTATTCTTGCATCCTATTGCAGCTGAATAAAAGTATTCATTTCTACCCCGTCCCCCGCCATTTGAATAACACTGGTATAGAGTAGACAGGAAGCAAAGTGGAAGAGAGTGGGGTGGGATCGGAAAGGGTCGCCTGAAGCGCATCTGTTGGAGTGCTGCCCATGAGGGTAGCGGCTCCAGCATTATAATAACATTTTGTTTTATACACAGACACACTGCTAAAGCACACATACAGTAAAGTACATTAGAGAGTGACCGTAGTACCTTGGAGTTCCAATCATAGTGGTAACCAAGAGTCACCCAGCGCAGTTTTTCTAGCAGACTTTTGGCCTCTCTTTTTCCACAGCCTTTCCTCCTGCAATAATACACAGACCCATTTAGATAAGGAAGAGCGTGAGATAGATTAGGTGCGGTGCAGAAGCACAAACCATTCACACAAATGTTGTGGAATAAAGTGGGCCTAACAAACTGCAATACCTCAAATCTACCATCTAGGTCACAGTAAAATTACCAGAACAGACTTAGCCACAAGGAAAGCATCTTATAAACTCAGTATCAGAAGGTGGAGTTAGCCAGCACACCTATATTATATCTATATTCAAATAATTGCCACATATCCTTCAAAAATATACAAATTTATATAGCATTTGTTTTATTCTAAACAACAACAACAACAACAAAAAAATAGTCTAAATGCACCAAAATAATATACAATAAAATAAGATTCTACTAAGCTGCCAATGCATGTCAGGATCTTTGACTTACCGAATAAGATCTATGCTTCTTTCCCAGATGTTTTCAGTCTCCACAGATGACATATGCATATCCAGGTTACAAACGTTGGGCTTCTGTGGATAGATCTTCAAACACTGCTTCACCCAGTACTGCTGAAAACCCGGCAGGAATGGGTTGGATATAAAGATAAACCCTATGTTCCAACAGTGATGATATAGTTAATTTAATCTCATTAAAGTAAACAGGAAAACATGGAAGTCTTCCATAACAGCATGTTAAAGAGCAAGATTAAAAGGGATACTCTAGTTTTTTCATATTAAACTATGTTATTCCCTTAACTAAGACGAGTTGACACATACCTCTCTCGTCTCAATGCGAGCACTTAATCACTCTGGCGTGCAAGACACTTTGATTGCACTTAACTTAGCCCAACTTAGCCAAGTGTCTTGCGCGCCAGAGCGATTAAGTGCACGCACTGAGAAGAGAGAGGTACAGTGGGGAAAATACGTTTTTGAACACCCTGCTATTTTGCAAGTTCTCCCACTTAGAAATCATGGAGGGGTCCGAAACTGTCATCGTAGGTGCATGTCTACTGTGAGAGATATAATCCAGAAATCACAATATATGATTTTTTTTAACCATTTATTTGTATGATACAGCTGCAAATAAGTATTTGAACACCTGTCTATCAGCTAGAATTCTGACCCTCAAAGACCTGTGTTAGTCTGCCTTTAAAATGTCCACCCTGCCGAAAAAAGGTCCACTGTTGGAGCAATCATTAGAAAATGGAAGAAGCTAAACATGACTGTCAATCTCCCTCAAGATCTCACCTCGTGGGGTCTCAATGATCCCAAGAAAGATGAGAAATCACCCCAGAACTACACTGGAGGAGCTGGTCAATGACCTGAAAAGAGCTGGGACCACCGTTTCCAAGGTCAATCATGCATGGCACAGAAGGTTCCCCTGCTTAAACCAGCACGTCAAGGCCCGTCTAAAGTTTGCCAATGACAATTTGGATGATCCAGAGGAGTCATGGGAGAAAGTCATGTGGTCAGATGAGACCAAAATAGAACTTTTTGGTCATAATTCTACTAATCATGTTTGAAGGAAGAAGAATGATGAGTGCCATCCCAAGAACACCATCCCTACTGTGAAGCATGGGGGTGGTAGCATCATGCTTTGGGGTTGTTTTTCTTCACATGGGACAGGGCGACTGCACTGTATTAAGGAGAGGATGACGGGGGCCATGTATTTCGAGATTTTGGGGAAGAACCTCCTTCCCTCCTGCAGTGTGTGCAATCCTGGTGAAAAACTACAGGAAACGTTTGACCTCTGTAATTGCAAACAAAGGCTACTGTACCAAATATGTATTAACATTGACTTTCTCAGGTGTTCAAATACTTATTTGCAGCTGTATCACACAAATAAATAGTTAAAAAAAAATCATACATTGTGATTTCTGGATTTTTTTTGTTTTTTTTAGATTATGTCTCTCACAGTGGACATGCATCTACTATGACAATTTCAGACCCCTCCATGATTTCTAAGTGGGAGAACTTGCAAAATAGCAGGGTGTTCAAATACTTATCTTCCTCACTGAATGTATCAACTCATCTTAGTTAAGGGAATAACATGGCTTAATATAAAAAAGTGGTGGAGTATCCCTTTAAAGTCCCCCTGTAGTCAATAACTGTATCCCTCAAAACTTATGTTTGATAACCAAAATTACAAATTTAAAAGTTTTTTCCATTAAAAAATCTAATGTAAATCTACACCCTTGCCTCATTTAGTATACACCATTCTATGAATTTGCTAATTGTCCCTGCCTCAACTCACTTGCACCAGCTCAGAGATCCCCTCTTTGATAATCACACTTTGACGTGATTGGTTACAAGGTAGTTTGTGATGTTTGTACATCAATGTGACAATTATACTAAATATTATTAATATTATATATATATAAATGAATTTAATGATAGGCTTCTATCATTATATCAAACCCATGAAATCCTTTAGATTCTGGAGAACATACAGTATGGCAATTATTTAAAACAGCCACCAGATTATCTAAACCATACCTGGATATCCATGCAAACCAAAAGCTTTCCAGTCTGTAACCGGCCGAAGACCAGCTTTAGAAACATCTTCCTCACTTATAGGAGTGGAGTTAAGTTTACAGGTAAAAACCTAGACAACGAGACAATTTTTTAATCCTAGAAGCACGAAACTAAATATAGTACAAATTAAAAAGTGTAAAAAGTATACAAAGTACAAAGTGTACAACAAAGGCATAGCAAATTAATATGACAAAAAATGTGTGCATGTTCTGTAAGCATGAAGTATTATAATGTTAATAATAATAGTTGTAGTTTACATAGTTCAAAGCCAAGGTTTTTTTTTTTTAATGAACCATAAATCATACAAATGTTCTTATAACGGGTTAATAGTAATACTAATAATATTAATATGCACCGGTTTGGAAAACTTATAATCATTAACATAAATATGCCAGTGTTCCTCAAGTCTGAATGGCACATCTTCTCATTGTCATTACAAGGTTCAGTTTATTATTATTATTTTTTTTAATAGATTAGGTAATACATATAGAACATAAATATTCTAGTAATATCTGATATATAATAAATAAACTGTTTAGGAAATGCTTATAGCGTCATAATGTTAATGAACACACAATATTTCTCAAGTCTGAATGACTCACCTTGTCATTACAAGGTTTGGAGAAATTAATGACCTCACTGAAGTCTGGAGGAGGATTTCTCCTCTTGTAAAACTTAAACAGTTTTCTAAAAGCATCTTCTCCATGCTCCATTATGGAGGCTGCCATTTTTCTCGTCATCATGTGACCTTTCTATTTCTAACGCCAACGATACAAAGCTTCGATTTTATTTTTATTTTTTTATTACTCAATGCAAATAAAATAACAAACACAAACATAAAAGATACCAGAAAGCGATATTTTACGTTTCAAAATTGTATAATTTAATGTAACAAATATGTTTTCTTCCGGTCACGTGGTCAGGGTCACCGTAAGCTCCATTCGGCAAGGACGAAACATGGCAGCGACAGCAACTGGGAAGAAGGTGTTTGAAGTATTTGTGTCAAAAGTGCCATGGACCATCGCAACGAGTGAGTAAAGGATGCCATTTGATCAATGTTTTTTTTTTATACATCAAATTAGTAAATAATACGCGTATGAATGCATTAAATGAGCCAGTAAATGGCTCAGCCTGTCATTATCCGTAACGCATCATCAGTATCTCTGACTTACTTACTACACTGCGATGCTTTAACGTTTTAATATCCAACGTATGTTATTGTTCTGTGTTTCAGAGGAGATTAGAGAATACTTTGCGCAGTTTGGCCAAGTGAAGAAGTGTCTCTTGCCATTTGTAAGAGAATACAAATAAAATGTAGTGTTTCATAATTTTCTTATATTCCTGTCATGCTGAGGTGAGTTTTCTCTTATTTTGTAGGATAAAGAGACAGGTTTTCATCGGGGATTTTGCTGGATAGGGTTCACTTCAGAGGAAGGACTGCAGAATGCATTACAAAAGGATCCTCATTTCATCGAAGGAGCAAAGGTGGGGGTCTAGTTGGGAACTGGATGATCCGGCCACAGATATCTCTGGTAAACGTTGTAGTTTGAACATGCATTAAAATATATTTGTCTATTTTCTCTTAATGCAGCTCCAGGTGCAAAAAAACAGAAAGCCATTTTCTGGAAAAAAATCAAACAAAGAAGCAGAGGATGTCTGAAGAGATCTGATCTCATGTCTCAAGTGTTGTTTTCAGTAACAGAAAACTCTTATTTATTGTGGATGTGCCTTTACTTGGCATACTTGTTTTCAAGAAGACAAACTTTAATGAGTTTTGATTGTTGTTGTATTATTGACTGCTTGTCTAGTGTGTCTGTTTTTTGTTTCTTTTTGAAATTTAAAGAAATGTGAGTCAAATAAATTGGGATATTTTGAATTATTTTGTTGTGTTGGCTACAAATTATTATTACTATAATTTTCTTTGTCAGTGTAGTATTTAGTATTATTTTATCCATTATAATTGTGAATAGATTTTAGCATTTTGCCTTTTACAAAAAAATCAAATTCTCTTTTTTTTATTGATATATTATTTTTTTTTAATTTATATATATATATATATATATATATATATGAAGAGTTCAGATGCAAAAGCCTCTAAATGCCATTTGAAATTTTCTTCTTTAATGATGATTTTTATCAAACTTGTATATATAAGTTCAGTAATTTCACTTATATAACAATTAATAGGTAATTACCATTGCCATTTAAGTGAAATCACTGAACTTAAATATACAAGCTTGATAAAAATGATCATTCTAGAAGAAAATTTCAAATGGCACTTAGAGGCTTTTGCATCTGAACTCTTCATATATATATATATATATATATATATATACAGGTATATTATATAAACAAAAATGTTAATGTTAGATGTGATTAATCGATTTGACAGCACTACACACACACACACACACACACACTAATATACTGTATATTATATTTGTTTTTGTGTGCGTATCTATCTATCTATCTATCTATCTATCTATCTATCTATCTATCTATCTATCTATCTATCTATCTATCTATCTATCTATCTATCTATCTATCTATCTATCTACACACCCATGCACTTTTGTATTAGATGTGACTAATCTATTAAAAGATTTGACAGCACAAATATACTATATATATATATATATATATATATATATACATAAGTTTCAAGTTTAATTTTAGAATGTATTATAAGTTGAAAATATATTCTGATTAGAGATGCTTGAGCAACATTGACTTAATTTCTTAATACTTTTACATGGTAACAGTTGAGTAATAACTTGAGGGTTTGTGTATAACTTGATGTATGCAGATGCATGAAACATTTCATCAGTGTGGATAATTTATTTAGAGGTTAATCAAGGCAGCAACTAAGATGCCTCTGCCAATGTTCCGGTCACATTATCTGTCCGAGCTCATGTCATGTTAAATCTGGTCACGCTCCATCACTACTTTGTCCTCTTCACCTCAAAGAAAAAGAGTATAATGTGTTTATGGAATACATTTTGAAATATATCTTTTGACTGAGGTTCTCTGTAAAAAGAATGTGGTTGGAATGATTTTTTATTGCTGTGGACATCTGCTCAATCATATTGCTTAATAGAATAAATGGGTTATGGTTATTACATTTAGTACTTGCATCTATTTACAAACCATAATTTAATGTTATGGCACTTATCTGAAAATGTTAAAATTAAGGTTAAACCATAATAATGTATTTGTGAAAGAAATCAAATCAAATTTTTTTGGCTTCTAATTTTTTCTTGAGAAATGCATTCAAATGGATCAACAGATTCTAATATGTAATATCTAATTTAAAGTTTATTTAATTGGCAAATGGCAAAGATGGTGTTCTTTTTCGATTCGATTCACCAATGACTGCATACTAGACTGCATTGACCATAATGCTTTGCGCTACGTACGTCAATGTAGACGCCAAAGTTGAAAGGTCAGAGAGCGACACCGGTTAGTGGATGACAGCGTGAGTCAATGAAGGTAAAAACAATCTGCTGTATTATGATTCTTAAAAAAATACAGAATCACTGTTATTGACGCTGACACCATGCAATAAAACGGTGTCTGTTATTTAGTTATATTCTCTCTTTAACACTAGAACGGCCACAACGGTCATTTTGACCGTTTTGAATTTTATATCTACAATAACTTTGTTGAAAAAAATAATAAAATCCTGCCGGTACCTGACTTTTCCTAAAATTGTCTGTATTTTCATTTAAAATGCTTTTCATATAAATTAAGTTACGTAAACGTAAGGCAAAACAAAAAAAATGAACATATTTACCTATTTCGGCCATAGACGGTCATATTGACCGCACTGAATTTTGCGGTATTTTTTTGTTAAATATCCCGCGGTTGATCGTGTTCTCTCTCAACTGTCAACAGAATGGTCCGTCCGGTCACCTCTGTAGCAGTGTTTGCCATATAATAATTTCTACATTAGTTGTTGATCAGAAATAAGCAAATAAAACCGGACTACAGTTATCTATAATTCGGATGCAGGGGAACAATCAGAGGTGGTGTGACAGCGACGTTTCCTGGGTGCAAGTTAACATTTCCTCCTCATCAGAGAGTGATTCAGAGTCAGAGTCCACATCAAGCAAAAAGAGACGGCTGCTATCATCAGACACGGCGGATCCAGATGTTCCATTCATGTCGGATGATCGTGGTGAGCTCTGCTGCCCTGTCCTGCGCTGTTCACTAGGACCGCGTCGCAAATCGTCACTATCTAACATTTTCGTCATAGTCTTTGTCATTCAAACCTTGTTTTTATTTAGTTATTGTCTCGTTTTCGTCTTTGAAAAAATGTGGTTGACAAAAATAATTACGAAAATTATTCATCAACACTGTTTTGAATCTAACGGTCAAAATGACCGCTTGTGGCCGTTCTAGTAGTTTTGGAATTCTGGCACTTCTAGTGTTAAGTTACGCAAGCGCTTGTATAACAAGCGATATGTATGATCAGCTGACCTCGTCTTTCAATACACCGACTGATGTTATGAATGAAAGCGGTTTATTACTCAAGTGCTTCGATCGCTATGGTTTGCTTAATCTGTGCTGCTGTGGTTTTTCGTTAATTTATAGATTTGATAACGCAATTTGGTTTTAGTTGTGTAAATCAGCGCTGCATTTCCCAAAAAAGCAGAATGATGAGCCCAAGTTGATCTTGAAGAAACTAATGACGACACATCGTAACTGCCACGCCCCCAAAGTTTATCTGCAGCAAATTTCATCAAATTAAATAATCAAACAATGTTTATTAGTATGTATTATTTCTATAAATATATTATTATCTCATTAAAGATATGTTTGTTATTTACAAACTCTGTGTGGGAAGACATATGAGACAGTATACGAACTAATATCAGTTAATCAGTTTGTGTGGGATAATTTACTGTTTGTTTTTGAGTATGCTTACTACAAGGATAGCTGCTTAATGGTGATAAATAATGTGTCTCTGTCTTTTTGCAGTTCCTCACATGGCTGTTCGGCTACTGAAGGTATCATCTGTTGCCACTGCAGTGATCGCATCATCAGGATTTTACCTGTACAGCAAAAATGTGGACTTCAATGATCTCAGCATTGTCAGATTTGGGAGGGCAGCTGCAACGGTAAACATAAATAAATATTTTTCACACTTTTAATTAGGGCTGTCAAACGATTATTCGCGATTAATCGCATCCAAAATAAAAGTTTGTATTTACATAATATATGTGGGTGCACTGTGTATAATTATATTATATATATAAATACACACACATGCTTGTATATATTTAAGAAATATTTTCATGTATATACTGTATATAGATTTATATATAATTTATATTATATGTAAATATAAATACTTCATATGTAAATATTTTTTTTTTCTTAAATATACATGCATGTGTGTACAGTGCACCCACATATATTATGTAAACACAAACTTTTATATTATGTAAACACAAACTCCAAAATTTTATTTTGGATGCGATTAATCACGATTAATCGTTTGACAGCCCTACTTTTAATTCATTAAAATTTTAATAATTCTGAATACGACAAACTTAAGAATTGTTTCAAAGAAGACTGAAAGTATACAAAGTGATAAAGTTTGTTTACTGTAAGTCAAATGTATTAAAATATATATTTTTTTAAAACTGAATAAAAAAGTTTATATTTTTTACAAAATAATTGCTTGAAAATCAAAGTCATACATTTAACCATGTTGTGTTCCAATTTGATGTCATAAAAATCGCATCCAAAATAA